TTGGGGGTATGTGGAGTGAGAGATTGTGGGGATTTATCTAGAAAAGGGTATAGTGTACAGTTGGAGTCTCCGCAGACTATAAGCGTGCCTCGTTTATGATGAGCAATAACCGAGAAGAGATGAGAAAGGAATGGCAAAGGACCCTGGTTTGGAGCATAGTATGTGGCAATGGTGACCTCAAAATCCAGCAATTGCCCTACAAGTAGAAGATAACGACCTTCCGGATCTTTAATTTCAGTGCATAATTTGAAGGGTGTAGTACGGTGAAGAGCAATTAAAACCCCCCTGCGCTTAACAGTAGCAGAGGCGGCGTAGACCTGTGGGTAGCAGGGCCAAAAAATTTAGGAGTGGAGGTAGGAGTGAAATGTGTCTCCTGCAGGCAGACTATGTGGGCCTTATAGGACGCAAAAGAACGAAAGGCTTTGTTGCGCTTCTGCGGGACATTAAGGCCCTGAACATTCAGGGTAAGGATATTCAGGGAACCCATGGGTGGAGGAAGCGGTGATTTGGTAAATATTGGAATCCCTTCAAGAGAGCCATCTTGCGAATTGAACTAGGGGAAAGCATGCGGTTGTAGAAACTGGATAATGACAAGGGGCCGTACAGAAAATTAAGGGTTGAGGTGGGGAGGGGTAAGGGTGGTCTAGGGTAGGTAAAGAGGGCCATAAAGAGGCTGGAAGAAAAAGAAAAGGAGAACGGTCCCCGGTGGTACCCGGAATCCGGGTGGTCCGGGGAGCGGTTGTAGCCCGAGTGGTGTCAAAAAAAAACGGGACACCAAAGGGGCAAGTGGAGAGTGCACAGGTGCGTGGGCGACAAGTAAGACAGCATGTAGACAAATAAATACTTGAGCGATCCTGGAAAGAGAGAAAACATCAAACATAATGGGCAGGAAGCCCGGGGTGCCCCGGTGCCGGCGACCCCGACCCACCCGGCACAGCCTCCAAAAGACCGGAACCGGGCGATCAGAGCCGCCGGGGCCGGGGGTCCAATAGGCAAGGTAGAGGCCCAACAGCAGCCCCAACGTAACAAACAGTAAGGCAGGTAACACCCCAACACAAGACATATCTAGAATGGCCCGTATCCTGAGCTGGTTGAAAGAAACAGGTATGAAAAAAAAAAAAAAAAAAATAAAGCCCAGCAAACAGGAATAAGGGATACAGGTATGCAATGTAAACTGTCAGATGGGGGGGCCGATTGATTCGACTCAGCAAGTAGCGACTACAGGGGCGGCCACGGACCACCACACAAAGAGCCGGTGGGAGGAGTAGAAGTGGTCAACAGGATTCAGTGCATAGAGTCTTGTGGTGAGGGAGCAGGAGATGAAAATCGACCGCGTTTGTGTAGATTCAGGTGACCATTAGGGATCGACGGAGGCTGTAGTTTCTTCGGAGAGCACGACGCCGTTCGCCTTCTGGAAGTCTCTGACGGTGTTGCGGGGGGGTGTAGCTGGAGGTTCCGTAGCGTGTCCAGGAGTTCATCAGTGGTCTTGCATACGTGGTCCCGGGCTTGGTATCTGAACCGAACAGCAAAGGGAAAGCACCATTTATATGGTATAGTATGTTGCTGAAGCACTTGCAGGTGCGGTTTCATGGCTCTGCGCTTGGTGATAGTAGTGGGGCAGAGGTCCTGAAATAGTTGATAGGCATGACCTTGAAACAGGAGGGACTCCGAATTGCGGGCGGCTTGAAGTAGTTGCTCTCTTGTGCGGAAAAAATGGAGTTTAGCTATGATATCTCGCGGTGGGCCGTCAGTGCGTTTAGGAGCTAGTGCCCTGTGAACCCTGTCCATCTCAAGGCGTTCTATTGGAATAGCAGGGGCGAGCTCTTGGAATAGCGCAGTAACTGTAGAGTGGACATCAATGATCGACTCAGGGAGGCCACGAATACGTACATTGGAGCGTCTGGCCCCGTTCTCAAAGTCCTCTAGACGCGTCTGAAGTGTAAGGTTTTCGTCCCGCAGCAGGTCAATTTCGTCCCCCTGCGTTTGAAGTGTTGCGTCAAAGTCATCCACCCTCTGCTCCAGGTCTGCAGTGCGTTGCCCCAGCTCGCGGATTTCCCTGGACAGCTGGTCAGTAATGCGGTCAGAGGTCTGTTTCAGGGCCTTGTGCAACATTTTTTCAAAGCGGGTCAGAAGGTCAGAGGCAGTAAGGTCAGGCGTCGTGGTAGTCATGGGGGTCTCAGATTCATCTGCAGACTCACCCTCCGAAGAGCATGGCTGGCTCGGTCGCTCTGGCTGTAGGACTGCAAGCCTGGAGGATGCTGGCTGGGCATTGTAGTTCCCCGACGCGGCGGCCATCTTGGATGAGGCTCGAGCTAGGGCCTCCTTTATGGGCTTGCAGGGCGGCGCCACCTGGTGTTTATGACCCCCCCTGACCATTATTGCAGGTGGCCGGGGGGTTATATTGATGATCGGGGCCGCTTATGGATCAGTGCGAGCCCGGATCGCGCGGCAGGGGGGCTGTCTTACCCGCGGCACGGAGGAGCTTCAGGGAGACATGTCCCGTACCGCCGGCCGCGCATGCGCACTCCCACAGCCCTCTTTTTAACATTACATAGAAAGGGAAATCTAAATAGGATTTTTACGTAAGAAAAAAGGTAAGCGGTTTTGCAAAAGTATAAATATACTGTAATATTTACATTCTTGGAAGCTTTCTTTATATCAGGTGGATATTCTATTTTTTTCAATAATTTTTATTAGATTTCAACAGCAAGCTTTTTATGGTAATGTGCCTTTTTACATTTTAAAATGTCAGCATTGTCTTTGTCTTAAACACTGGCAGTTGTCAGATTGTGTCCTTATTTTACACATAGAACAAATATGGGTTTTTTTTTAATCATCAAATAAAGTACCAGTATTTTTGTCCTGTATACAACATGGGCTTAGGGGCCAGGGTCCTCTGCAGGTATACAGGTGCTGAGCTAATGACAAGCACAAGAACTAGCAAGACCTACATCCTGCCAGTAATAATAGTTTATACACTTTGATTTCCCAGACAGTTTACACAATAGTAGTTTGTTGTTTTGCAAGAATTTACTTGAATCACACTGTGTATCTTGGGCCGCAAGCAGCTGTCTTCGTAATAAAACATATCTATAGACCCATGGAATTAAGCTAGCAGCTAATTATTATTTATACTAGTACTTCTTCAGCAGGGGTGGTCTTCTGAAAATATGCTCCATGTAAAATTTTCTTTATGGAAGTAGTTCTTTGCGTTTCTGCATATTCTTAAATAGAAAAATGCAGATATCATAGTATCTGTAAAGACTAACACTCTGGCTTCTCCATTATTGCTCTTGTTACATAATAGAATTACCGCTTGAGTTAAATTCTTTTGATTGACTTTTATATAATGTAAAGGCAATTCATTTTGGTCAAGTGTGACCCCCAAAATATTTGGAGGGCCTCACAATAGCTTTTTAGGATGTCATTAATTAGATTATAAAATAAGTGTTCTGCCTTTATTTTAGATAAACATTGTTTTGGAATGCTGATTTGGATATTCTGTCTCTTCCATCTATCTCCTTTCCTGATTGTCTATATGGGTTTGAGGGGAATCCTGAGTGTTCACAGTCTTTAAACCCACTGAACTAATGTGGGAATTCGATATATTAATGCACTCTTTGATGAGACATCAGGGTTTTTTTTACCTCCTGATGTCTCACCTGCCTGAAGCTGAAGCTTAACGGAGTGCACATCACACAAGGGCTAAGAAAAGAGTCACCATAAACTGAAAGTGACGAACTACATGTTGCTTCTGGGTTCATTCAAGCTAGCGGAGATCAGCGAATGTATATTCACTGGTCTCTTTCCACTCCACTCAGTGATGCCCGCTTGGGTCCCAAGGCCGCAGGTGGGACAGCGAAGCATGACAGGTAGGCTTCGTATTAGAGGGGTTGCACTCCAAGGTTCAGAGAAAGCAATCTGGCAACTATTTGGATGCCAGGTTGCTTTCATTAGAAGGTCAACAGTAGGCTTGTAGCATGTACACACACTCCTGGCAGCTGCAGCCGCCTCATGAAACTCATGACTCAAACTCATGAAATGTGATTTTTTTTTTTTTCTTAATGCAGATAGTGCTAGTACCTGAATTCAACATAATATGAGCCTTCTGCTCTTCCATATATAGCAGCACTGAGACCTCACGAGGCAAGGGAATATACTGGTAGAAGGAAGAGAGCAGAGTGAGAGAAGAGATTACCTTTTTCAGTTTGCTGAGGTGGGAAAATGACACCACTTTATTCTTGAACTGTAACGAGAAAATGGTGTCATCCATCTGGTTTGCTGTCTGTCAGGACTGTGTAAAACGCAGGACTGAGGGATTAGAAATACAAATTCTTTGTCAGATAAGACCGCTTCAAAATCTGTATTTAATCTTTGTATTTATTTTATCAGCTTGGACCAGAGTAAGTGTGCATATTTTATACCTTTGGGACCACTGTGGAAGCTGAAAATCACTGTAGTATTTGGCACTACAACCAGTGATTACAACAGTCTTCCAGGTCCTGTGCTGAATATTGTCCCCTGCATACTGACCACACTGGTCACTCACTCAGGATTGCCACCATTAACAGCACACCATGTATTTTTTTCCCAATGCATACAAGGTGTTCTCTGTTTACAGGAAGTGGAGAGGAGGGGTGGTGAAGTCCATTGAAAAATATAAGGTGTTCTGTGAATGGTAGCGATGCAGAGCAAAAGGGCCCCCTATGGTCAGTATGCAGTGACGTAGCCACTCAACACAGGACCTGGAAGAGGCTTCTACAGTGGTCCCTCTGATATAAAATATGCATATTTACATTGATCCAAGCTAGACTAATGTAACTATGTAATAAAGATCATACCTGGAGTTCAGCTTTAAGTGAAACATATTACATATATAGTATATGTAGCTACAGTTGTTTATATATTTCATATAAATTAAATGTTTCATATTCTTTTAAATGAGTTCTTCATCAGTTCATATTGACATGTTTATTGTTATATGGTGCAATTTTATTTAGGAGAAGATATGCAACTTACCTGTGAAGTGTATTTCTCTTACGTTCAAAACTCCAGTAATGAAATTTGGTGGACAATAAATGGCAAGAGAAAAGAAGACATTACTGACCCAAGAGTAAATGTTACTGAAAGGTAATTTGCATTATCAATTGCATGTCTTAAACCTGTCCTAAATGAACAGGGTCTCTTGACCCTTTGAGCCCATAACAAAATATGTTGGCCAGGAACCTCTCTAAATGGGAGTCCAATAATACCGCGCCAACAGTTTGTGCAACTTTACAATATAAAGGGGGACAATAATCTCATGTTAAAAAAACTGAAAATTTGTGGAGAATCAATGAAAAGACCCAAGAGTAAATGTTACTGAAAAATTTGCATTATCATTGCATGGGAAACCTGCTCCTATAACAAAATATGTTGGCCAGGAACCTCTTAATGTATGAAGGAAAAGCAATTCTTGTTATCCATATAAATCAGTCAGAGCAGAAGCATGAAATGGGAAGCCCTAGTGCTTTATCTTCATATTTTTCAGTAAATCTCTGTATGAGTATTTAGAGCCAGCCCATGTCCCCTCCCCTGACTTCTCCATCAAGATCAATAATACAACCATCAGTCCCTCCCCAAATATTGTAGACTTCACCTCCGCAACATCTCCAAGATACACACATTCTTCTTAACCTCGGAAACCACTAAGCAACTTATTCACTCCCTTGTTATCTCTCGCCTTGACTATTGTAACTCCCTCCTCATTGGCCTACTTAATCGAAGGCTATCCCCTCTTCATGAATGCTGCTGCCAGACTCATCCACCTTACCAACCGTTCCATATCTGCCATCCCTCTCTGCCAATCCCTCCACTGACTTCCCATTGCCCAATGAAAAAAATTCAAACATTAACAATAATGTATAAAGCCATTTATAACTCTGCCCCAAATTACATCACCAATCTTGTCTCCAAATATCACCCAAACCATCCTCTCTGCTCCTCCCATGACCTCTTGCTCTCTCGCTTCCTTGTCTTCTCCCATGCTTGTCTCCAGGACTTCTCCAGAGCCTTCCCCATCCTCTGGAACCCTCTACCCCAATCTATCCGACTATTGCCTACTCTGCCCACTTTTAGGCAATCTCTGAAAACCTATCTCTTCAGGGAAGCCTATCCTGCCTTCAGCTAATATCGGAATCTTCTATTCCTCCTATCAGTTCATCCCCCACAGTTATTACCTTTTGTACCATCAGCGCCTCCCTCTTAGATTGTAAGCTCTCAGGATCAGGCCCTCCTTACCCTCTTGTATTGAACTGTATCATTGCTGTAATGTCTCCCTTTATATTGTAAAGTGCTGAACAAACTGTTGGCGCTATATATATCCTGTATAATAATAATAATAGAGTGTAACAAATCATGTATTTGGATTATTTTTCTCAGTATATAAAAGATCATATATTTCTGGGTTCAGCTAACCCAGGAGCCAGGTTACCATGGACCAGTAAAATGACAGCTATTCATTTGTTTGAACCTTTCTGTTGTTAGTGGATGCTTGTAGCATCAAAGATTGTACTGAATAGCTTCTGAATTCTACATTAAAGGAATTGAACCTGGGGAAACATTTAACAAGGGAAAAGGAAAGAAAAAACTCCTTTTTTACCAAATTGTCCAGGTATTCCCAAACTCAAATTTATTGTACTTCCTTTATCATCTAGAATAACTGCAAAGGAGCAACCCTGACATTTCCTAACGTGCATAACTCTGCTGCTATTTGGAATTACAAACCTAGTAAACTTTTCAGCTAACTTGTGTTTTTCATTTTTGTCTGCATATTTTACAGCTAAATGTTATAGAAATACAGTATACAGAGTGATATGCTTTGTCACAGAAGTTATAGAACTATGGTTTCTCATTTTAAAAGATGTGTTGTAGGACTTCATTATAAGTGAACCTACACTTATAATGTCACTGCGGATTCACAAGTCTAGAGGTCATTAATCAACACAGTTCTCAGTCTTAGAAGTGGTGTGGGACTGATTCTGCCTCAACCTAGATGTGTATAATTTAATTTTTTAACCGAAGCACATACTTCTCTTTTAAGCTCCGTGCCTAGGCCACTCTCAGTTACTTTTACCGTCAAGTGAACAGGAGTTTGCTTCTCTGCTTGCATCGCCCTACATCTGAAAAGTAATGTGTTGTGTTTATTTGTTTCAGATCTGAACTGGATGAGATGAATCCTGGAGCTAAAACCATAACTAAGAAATTATACATTAAAAATATCAGTCCAGATGAGCTCAAACACAACTATACATGCTCAGCCAAAAACCATTTGGGGTCTATCTCCAGGCAAGCACTGATCAAAGAGAAAGGTAAACACAGACAGTAGACCATGAATTCTTACAATTTGTTACCACAATGTATTTATCAATATTGTGCGTTGAAACATTTGAATTGAGAATCAAGAAAATATGTACATTGATAGTACAGTATGGAATATGTTGGCTTTTTTTTAAATGAAAAACGACAAACGTTATATGCTAATGCTAATTTTGATTTTAGCGGTAATAATTGGATTTTGTTACTGTATTTAGTTCCCCTGGAAATTTAAACATAATTCTATCAAAATAGTAAAACTTACTATTATTTTCCCCTAAATTTCTTACTTATATGAAAGTATATTTGGATTCCAGTCTCTACATTTACTACTTTTGATATAATTAAAGTAGAGTTAATTCATATCTGGATGACACTTAGTTTGCAAAAGCACTCTGCATTATAAGTTATTGACTTGGCATTTTTTTTATTTAATATTGGTTCTGCTGATGGACACTACAAGCGGTCATTCTGACACACATTGTGCTCCATAAGGAAGCCAGTTTAATCACGTTAAAGATGTTTTGCTACTTCTCCAAGCAGCTTCTTCAGTTCTAATAAGTGTTGATGTGAGTAAACATATCCCAGCTTTTATATCCACACAGGTAACTCGGTCACCTTAATACAGTCACTATGGAATGTATTGTAGCACCTTCCTGGTCAGGTGCTAGGATTTGTATTTGATGTAGGTTAAGCATAGTTGTGTTTTTCTGCTTACTAGAAAGGCTGTCATGTAAATTCAGTGTGTTATTCTGCTTAACAGAGTGATGTGAATAATTAGTTAGGTCTGCTCATGCTGCTGAGGTGTTGCTGGAGTTTGTCTGAGTTCTGTTCACCTTCAGGAAGCTATGAGAGCCTTCCAGAGTATGGGTAGGGGCTGAGCAAATGAATATGGATACAGCCCTGGCCAATTGCAGGGGAAGGTGACCACCATAGCATGCTGTGAGTGGTATTTTTGTTCTGGGAGTACATGGGCTCTAGGTCTTTCCCGGGAGTGGATTGCAGCAAGCCAAGCTGGAGGCAGGCTACCTCACCTGGCACTTGCTGCCATGTGGCCTCAGGTGGGTCAACATGAGGGCCTGAATTTTACAGAGCGTAACCCTGGTTCTACAGTAAGCTAACTGAGGGGAGTTGTCTGTAAAGATCTGTGTGGTACCACTGGAGAGAGTCACTTGGAAGATTGGAAGGAGGCAACCATTCTGTCCTTGGACTTGTGAGCACAGATGCTGAGAGATCTTGGAGACTCTTGCTTTGCTAACCCTTTGGTGCTTGATAGTCAGTGTGGGTCTGAGAAAGGGAATATTGGCTAGTGTTCTTTCTCGGGCTAGTGTGCTTGTCCAATTGATGCTACTGCAAAGGACTTTGCTCTGTTGCTATTACTTCTCGACTGTTGTGCTCTGCCGTAACGGGCCTGTACCCGAGGAGCTCAACCCTGTTATTACTACTACAGCTAAAGGGACTTGGCTCACTCTTAAAACTACTTGCTGCTATGTTACAAGGTAGTCTGCTATCTGCGTTTGACTTGGACTTCTGCATTGCTCAACTGAGAGATTAAGTTTAGGTGCCCTCAATGTGAATGGTTCTATATTTGGAGTATCCTACTGAAATTCCCCGTTCCTATGCCCAGTTCTACAATAAAACTCCAAGAACTATACAACCCCTAAATTGTCATTGAAGACAATGAGCCATTGTGTGTGTGTGTGTGTGTGTATTTGGCTGAAGAAATACACTTGTCTCTATCGAAATAAGGGAAAACAGGGGCACATATTCAAGTAGCTCTTGGGGAGGTAATGCTGCAGTATCAAAACAGATGTTGACTTGTGATACTACTCTGCTTATCCTCCTCAGACATCCTCAAGGAAGGAACAAAGGATCCATCCACAAAACAAGAAACACAAACGCCAGATCTTTTTTTTTTTTATAAAGGAGATTGTTACCTACACACCTGTTTATTTTCATAACGGTTATTAGACAGGCATGTGAAGGCCCTCCTGTAAGGGCCATAGGAGCTTTGAAGATTTGAAGCAGGTCAAAGGAAGTAAATCACTTGTTAAAGTAAAATGCAAACAGCTATTTGAGCCTTACCTTTCCTCAGTTAACCGTACATTTTATATATATATATATATATATATATATATATATATATATATAATAAGCAGACTTTAATTGTATTTTGTGGTTAATATACTGTATATGGTGGTTCCGCAAATGACCTAAGCATTGCATTGGGCGTACTTACCAGAAAATGTTTTTTTTAAATAATTGTTTACTGTTTACACCTATAAAAAAAAATCAAGGAAATAATCTCTGTATTCAAATTTGCTGAAAAATTAAACCCCTATGAGTCCTGAAAAAAACAATGAATAATATATTAGGTTAAACTACAAATGCTAAAAGGTGTAGAAATGAAAGAAATGCTCTGCGACTCAAGGAGATTTATGCCTGGGGAAATCAAGTGGTTAAAATATATGACTTTGTGATTACAATCTATCCTTGGCTTACCATATTTGTAGTATTAACCACAGGACAGTAATCATACACAACTTGCAGAAGGTTCAGCAATTATTCTCTAATAACAGTGCTTTCAAAGCACATGTGCACATTTCAGCAACTTCATGTACAAGTAATATTTATGTTGTGCTGTAAAACCTATCTTAAATTCTTACTGAGCTGTAGGTTCTCAGCCATGTAATGTATTTCAGTGAAAATGCACATCTAGTCGATATAATGACAAGGATCCGGTTTGATCAGTTTTCTTGAGTTTGCACTCTCTTGACATAATTTGACCTTCTAACCATTATCAGTCTTTATGTAAATGTGTCTGTGAACTCTTGACACCCCTTTATTGCAAAGCAAGCTGGTCAATTTCTCATCAGAAGCACAGCATCCTATTTTCCTGTTTAGGCTGTCTGCTGAATAATTGACATCAACGGGAATAACATCTTGCTTCAACAAGTCACCGTTAAATGCACATGGAAAATATATTGGAATTGCTTTGGACAGCTCATATTATTATGAATTTTGAATTATTCCTGTTTTCCCATAGAAAATATGTGGTTTGACATGTGATTTAAAATGCATTTAATTATGTTTTTGCAGTAGCCGTAGATATAGAGTATTGACATGTGTTATAAGGACAAATGTTCATCTTTTTTAAGTCTCTTTTCCGTGTAGCAAGTCAGTAGAGACAGCTCAGTAGTTAATTTGAAAGCATTATGTTCTTGGTGCTGACATATGCATCATAATAATATGGTAATCACTATTATAATGTTTCTTACAGTTGGCACTCCACGATACATCACTGAATTGGCATGTGGGCTGGGAGCAACACTGTTTCTTGTTATATGCTTCATTGTTGTATATCATGTGTACTGGCTGGAATTGGTGCTCTTCTACAGGGCTCATTTTGGCACAGATGAAACCATTGGAGGTAAGATGCTGTAATATAAAAAAAATATATATTATATATATATATATATATATATATATATATATATCGGACAAGGTTTGGGATGGTAGATATTAAAGGGTATTGGATGGTGGCAGCTGCAGTGATGAGAACAGTGAATTTAATTGTTGGCAGATAGTGGTGAGAGGGAAATGGGGTTCAAAAATACAAAGAGTCCAGTGCACTCCATACAGCAGTAAGACCCAATTATAAGAAGGCTGTGGTGAGATTGCAGATGGCCCTGAAACTGGAAGAGGGGGCAGAAGGGGCAGGTGAGCAGCACATCTTTTTTTTTTTCTGTGGAAGCGGCTGCTATCACGTTCAGTGCTGGAAGATAGCCACTCAAGGCAGTATATGGCAACTTTGAAGGAAGCACAGTAGGGAAGATTTTAAGCAGAATCTGCTGTCTGCAGGTAATGGCATACACAATCTTATGAATAACTAGTATGGTTCTCTATACCCTTCAGCTTTAAATATATAAGAATGGCCAGCAAAAATCTATGCCCAGGTGCAGAGATACACAGCAGATAAGAATATGGATTTACATGGGTTTGTCATTAGGGATTGCTTTTTTTTCTACAGTACTACTACAAGGAAAGTTAAATAATTACAATATTATAAAACCTTGTGAAGAACAAGTAAAATCAATCTTGTTCTTTTCCAGTGCACTGCTTTTTGGACATTATTTCTAAAATGTATTTTGTTTTCCTAAACAGTATCTGATTTACATTTCTTGATTTTTGGCAGATGGAAAGGAATATGATGTGTATGTATCCTATGCAAGGAATGCAGAGGAAGAAGAGTTTGTTCTTGTGACTCTGAGAGGGATTCTGGAAAATGAATTTGGATACAAGCTGTGTATCTTTGACAGAGACAGCTTACCTGGTGGAAGTAAGTAGCTTTTTCACTTTCAAGTATCTATCTCTGTGACTTTAGTTTGATTTTTGTGTATGTATTTAACCACTGTGAACTATGTTAAGTTTACCTTACCTGGCCAGTCAAACAACAAACTATTTTGTTTTTTGCAATATGGCCAGAGTCTTTAAAATGACCTTTGTTAGGCTTCAAGAAACCAGACTATCATCTATTTTTAACTCCATAGAGGGCCTTGTAAGACGATAGCTTTATTCTTCGTAAGTACTTGTTCTTATTTTTAGTAGGGAAGCATATGTCTAGTTGCTGCAACCATCTGTGGAATGACTATGTACAGTTGAGGAAACAGTCTAGACTGTCATGTGGTTATAGTTCACTGTAAGAAATTAAATAAAACCACTCTATGCTTTTTAAATGGGTTCCATTTCAGTTTAACATCATTGTTAGAGCAAAGTACACCCAGAAACTGGAAATTTATTAATATTTTTAAACAGTGATGTAATAATTAGTAGTAACAATGCTCAAGTTAACACAAAATGTACAGCTTCACTGAGCTCTTCATAGTTGTCCAGATCAGAGCTGTATTACCCTTTGCAGGAATTAAGGTTATTCAGGTTATTTCACATATTATTCCTGTAGCTGTGGAGTCTCTGTTCACTCAACAGAACAACATGAGGACATTCCAAATGCACATAAGCAATTGCAACATTTCTGATGTATAATGAGGCCATCACTTTGCTGTACTTGGACCAAATGAAACAATTCCTGACAGCATTTATAGGACTAGATAACAAAACACATTTCCTGCTAATTGTATTTTAGACCACCTTTTCTCTAGAAACACATTAAGAACTCTCGAAACACTAATGCTTTCCTTTTTTCCCCACCAGTCATTACAGATGAGACACTGAGCTTCATTAAGAAAAGCCGACGTCTTCTTGTTGTCATTAGCCCAAGTTATGTCCATCAAGGTACCCAGGCCCTCTTGGAACTGAAAGCTGGCTTGGAAAACATGGCTTCCCAGGGCAATATTCGACTTGTGTTAGTTCAGTATAAAGCAATTAAGAACAAAAAGAAGGTGAAGGAGTTTAAAACTAGCTCAATCTGTACTCAGTGTTATTAAATGGAAAGGGGAAAAATCTAAACACCCAGGGAGTAGGTTTTGGAAAGAGCTCCATGTTGCCCTTCCTGTTAAGAAAACTTATTTTACAAAGAACACAGGTAGCTTTCAAATGCTCACTCAGAATTCATCCTTCACTACAGAGGGACTCTGAAGTTGACATATTGATCTTGACAGCCAATAGTAAGTTGACTTGACTTTCTGATATTTTATGTTCGAGTTAGAGCTTCTGTAATGTTGCCAGTTAAGAGAAAGTCATGCTGAAGATCTGTGGTTAAGATAGATGTTTGAAACATCTCTGGAAAGTATTAGGCCATCCCAGTTGCATTTTACTTGACAAGTGTAAATGGGAGCTGCTTGTTGTAAAGAAGCTCTAGAGACCTTTAACCAAAGACTCAAGGACATGGAACAATGAAAGGTGGAAAAGTGAAAGAAAAGTGAGTCACAGAATGAGTAGCATGCAAGATGTAGAAGTTGGATGCAAAATAAAAACTGCTAATGTGATTTAACCAGTTGCAGAGATTGGACCTGCTGTGTATGCCACCAAAAAACCTCATATAATGACACAGGGCACATGTGGTATGCCTTGTCCTTCTGCCTCACTGCTGTTTCCCCTCCTGTATTTTACACCAATTCCCTTTCCCCAAAATGACAGCCAGGAGTTGCTGTGTGTGACTGCTGCTACTACTGTAAAAAAAGACATTCTAACACAGTGTTTTTATAAACATTGTTCAGAGGTTAAATAGAGAAATGTGATGTCAGTCAAGTGCTGGTTCACACTGGTGGGTTTCTAATGCGATTGAGCTGCACAGAATCACATGACAAGGAAATCACATTTATTTTCAATAGAACTCTGTGCAGTGTGAATTTGGAAAAGGCTCCTGTTGTACTTTGGTGCAATTTGGCTTCATGAACTATGCTAACCACATCCAAAGTCGCACTACACAATCACATTGAAAAGTGCACCACAATAGTGTGAATGGAATCCAAAGCAACCTAAACATTAAAAAAAAATTAATAATAATTTTTTATTTCCTTTTCAAATAAAATTCCTATTTCACCCCTTATTAACCCTTAGTTACCTTTTTTTTTAGGGTTGCTTTAACAAAGTGCAAAGTAAAGAAAAAACAAATAACTTTTGTTATTTGTAATGCATTTATTGTCCTTTTAAATGGGACCGATTATAAAAGAAAATGTATAGTGTTTACAATAACAGTATTGTAGCTAACACTGATCAAAGTAGAAAATAAATGTTTTTTTGTTTTTTAATTTTGTTACTTTGCTTTTAAAAAGCAAAAAAATCATTTTTGCAAGACAATATCACCAAAAGAACCCTTGTTGACCGTACATATTTGTATTACATTATTACCTTAAGTATTGACATAGTTGTTGCTAAATAGACAGGCCAATAGCAAACATTTAAAATCTATATTGGCACATCGGGAGTGTACAGGTATTGTAGTAGTTAAAAATAAAGCACTGGACAAAGCATGGTCACCCATAACAGCCAGTCACCTTTTATTGGACTGCCTTTTCTGTATTAAAGAGTGGTAAACTCTGATTAATTGCTCAGTCTCTTACTTCATTTTGACATCAGCATTTCCCTTTGTACATCTTTTTTTTTTTAACCAGACAGTGTTGGGCATGCTGTTTATCTTCTAAATGCATAAAACTTAAAGCTGAACCAGGCAGCAAACATATGCCTGGAAAATGTGCTTACAAAACATTTAGCAAAGAAAAATGTTCCTGTATATGTAAAACACCAGGTGAAAATTATACACTGCAGTAATATATGCAGTATTTGGTTATTGCTTGAAAAATTGAATTGCTTTATTTTAACAGCACGGGAGCTGCTTTAATGATTTATATCCATTGAAGCAGCACATATAATTGCAGGTAGATGGTTGCAATAAGCATGATACTATTAAATATCCTCTGCTTGGCTAACTAGTGTTTCAGTATGTGAAACCCTGGCACCAAGCACCAGACAAATCCCCTGTGTTATAGGGTAATAGACGTTACTACTGTGTGCATACATTCCCCAAGCATATGTACTAAACGACTTTTAATGTATAATAAGTCAACAGGTGGTGCTTGAAAAGTCATAGAAAAAGTGCCATATTTATGCAGTTTAGAATATTTATCATTGCAGATTTTTTTTTTACTGAAAGTAATTATTATAAAAAAAATAGATGTATGCTCTAGCTTTGTAATTTATACACTCATATAATCTGTTTGACATATTTCGTGCTGATAGAAATAGAAGTCTTATTTTTAAAGTGGACCTGAACTGTGGAAATTGTTCCCAAAATAGACAAGCCAGGGCAAATGACTAGTCACCAGTATTGCCTGTGGTATCTCTGCAACTGATCTTGTCCCATTATTCACTCACCATTTCTAGTTCTGCATTTTGTCTGTGTGGAGATGGCCATCTTGGTAGAAGAGCTTGGCCTGATGACTGGTGATCTAATGACTGGTTGGGGCAATATTCAAGAAGCAGGAGAGGGGGAGGAGGCTCAGATCTACAAAATGAATGTAGCAAACACTGTGGAGATGCTTGCATGCAGGTCTTTAGGTATAGATTTCTCTCCAACAAGAACAGTGAGCAGAACTGTGGTGACATCTCCAAAGCTCACTTCTTCTGAGAAAAGCAGTTAGGCTGGCTGTGCGTTATACATTTTTATTTTTCGTTCAACCAGCAGGCTGATTGAAAAAAATATGTGCTGATTTTGCCATCAACACACTCTGTGCTGATGGGAGAATCCTTTTCACAGTGCTATTGTGTTCTGCTGGCAAGAAGCCTTTCTCACTGGCAGAATACAATGATTAGTGTTGCTCGCAATAGCCAGCAACACATCCCTCAGGAAAAACCTGACGGACTGGTTATAATTAAGTTGACCATTAAATTGACTTGCGTACCACCAGCTAGCCAATTCATGGATCGAAATTCGGCCGGTTCCTGCTGAACTGGCTGAATTTTGATTCATGGATGGACAGCTTTAGAGGCAGCAATGACTCTCACAGCTATGAGACTACAAGATAGGCGTGCCTAGGTACAGGATTGTAGTGCTATATTACAGGAGGCATTCAAGGAAAAAGATAAACTATGTAAGATGCTGTTTAGGAATAGTTAATATAAGTAAATGTATAAGATATCAAATCCTAATTTTTTTTTTTTTTAGTGCAGGCCGCTTTAACAAAAAAAAACCTGCACTCATACACTGTATGTGTGTATTCTATTAAATATTAGAAATGGATTAAGGCTTTTTTTAAAAAATATAACAAGTCAGATCAGAACCATATGTATATACTATATATACTAAAATTAGATTAGTTCCTTATTGTTGATACTGTTATGTAATTGAAACTATTAGAATGTGCACTGAATTGTAATACAGTGCCCCTGGGGGAATTACATCAGATCCTTATTGGTATCCGCAGGCATTAAAAGTAATTCATGCATACAGTATACTTCTGCAGAAACTGACACAGTTTTTTATGACCATGTACATTTTAAAAAATAAATCTACTCAGACAAGTTTTGCTTTAGACCATTGGGTATTAAATGCCAAATGTTACATATCTCTAGTTTATTCCCGACATACAAAACTGTATAACCAGAGCTGATTATGCCTGCTCTTTTATCTATGATAAATGAACACATGGCTGCCTTAGATAATTACTGTTCATCACAACACAGAGGTCACCTATATGTTCACTTTGTTGGAAGCCCTTTTGAAGTTATATTGGACTTTCTGCACATATTTTGGTGCTGACATATTGTAGCTGTCAGCTAGTTGATGCCTTGAATTTTAAGCACTTGGTTTATGACTGAATAAGTGTTAGGAACCTGTGAATAAGAAGGAGGTAGGTAACTTTCATTACATGTCATAGTAGTGTTGTAACTTGTTAGCCATCCATCAGTGTGGAGAGTTCACATCTTGGTGCAGAGATGTCACTAGTATCATGTGTAGATTTTTTTCTGCAATGTGTATAAAAGTAATTGAAGCGTGCATCAAAACTGATGTCTCTGCAAGTGAAATCTGCGTGTCATTTTCCATCATATTTTCTGCATGTATGATGTAAGCAAGACCTAAGTGATATCCCTTACAACCAGCTGAAGTTTTATGTAGATCATAGGTGTTGACCTACGATCTACATAAAACTGCAGCTGGTTGTAAGGGATATTACTTAGGCCTTGTTCACACCATACATGCAGAAAATGTGCATGTATGGTGTGAACCTGTTGCTGAACAGGTCAGTTACAATTTACCTGTTGATCGCAGCAATGTGGTGGGTAGGTTTGCTAGTGACAGCATGACAGCAGTGTCACTAATCCTGTTAAACAGCATAGTGAGCTGTGTTTGGGAGGAGGAGAGAGATGAGAGAGGAGGTGTAGGCTTCACCCTGATTTTCCAGGAACGACATTGTGAATGGTTAGAGTAAGGAAAAGGACGAAGTAACTGCTATAAATTAGATGGCAGGAAAGGAGATGTTTCAGGGCTGTGAGAGCCTGTGTGTATCAAGGGGGGAATAGGTTCACGTTGAGCTGATCACTGGTTAGACTACCTATTCTTCTACAATTTATTTTTGATAGACTTATTTTTGATGCAGCAACTGTCAGTTTTGTATAAACTGTATGTAGCATCAGCCACATACAGTATCTAGCACTGTGTTCAGCAGCAGTATGGGGGCATTCTGTCCCATTCCATAACAAAATCAAGTTGGGCTGAGAGCTGTGCAAGCACTCACAAGAAGCCTTGTATTTTTAGGAATAAATACAAGGCTTCCCCTGATTTGTAGAGGTGGAATTCATGATGTCATCCATCCACCTTGCCACCTCAGCCAAGTAGGGGAAGCCTTGTATTCATTGATAAAAATACAAGGCTTCCTATGAATGCCTGAGCAGTGCTCAGCCTGACTCTGTTTGGCACTCCGTACTGGTGCTAGAACACAGAGCTGTAAACATTATGAAGCTGATGCTACTAACAGTTTATACAGCACTGACTGCCACTGCTTTGATTAGTAAATAAAAGTGATTGAGCCAGCTTGGTCCAAACAAACTATTTAAAGTCATAGTATTCCTGGTGTTAGGCTTAAAAAAAAAAGTGTGCTGCACCGTGGTGATCCTTGAGTTCTTCCATATTCCTCATG